GGATTAAGGCTAGGTTAGAGCTGAGAAGGTTCGGCTAGTGGGCTTTAATGAACACATGAGCTTGTCCTTTTGAAAGGTTAGTTCACCTTTTTTTTTTTCTCAAAACAATCCATCAACATTACAGCTTACAGTGTCTATGAAAATGCTGTCTTCTGTTTTTATAAAATTATACTTATTTTGATTTAATGCTGCTTCCGTCTGCTTCCCCTCTATGTTGCGACTACATTGGAACTGACTGTTGGGTGTGCAGCTCATCAAAGAGCACATGACTGAGACTGACTGTTTGCCTAAACGTACCTTGCAGAACGCTGAGCTCTGCCGCTGCTGCAAACGTATATGGCGGTTTAGGGAACCTGAGTTTTCCTAGCAGAGTGCTCTTTTCAGGAGCTACCCATCCAACAGTCCAACCATGTCGTTGCAACAGAGAAGGGAAGCACAGGGGAGAAGCATTAATCAAAGTAAGCATCATTTTCATATACACTATAAACTGTAAAAAAAAAAAAAAAACCCCTTTCAATGTATAAATTTTTCCACATTTTATAAATGTAAAACATAATATAGTAAAATGGTAATGGAACATTCCTCAGGTAGTATCAAATGATCTGGATGTGTAAACTGATATTCCATCCATTAGGACTAGTGTGCATTGATCTGTTCTGCATTCCACTAAAATATATCCATTTTATAATCAGGCTTTTGCGTTTCAAATTTATTTCCGCTAGGTAAAATTAGTGGCATTGTCTCTAGGAAAAAGTTGCTTTATTGTTCTCATCCTGCATATGATGTTACCAGGAATATATCGGCAGACTTCAGCCAGAACTTTTTTCAGTTTTCATGGATTAGAAACTTTTTAACTTGAATCATTTTTTTTTTTTTTTTATATGTATATTTGAAGGTATATTATTTTATGAATATATCTTAACTAACAGGATGTAGAAATTCGTGCTATTTGTTAGTTTTTAGACCACGCAGTGTAAAGTATTGCTAAGAGATGTAACTCATAGCCAGCAATCAGAAAACTTTCCTTGATTTGAACCAATTTGAAATCTAATTGCAGTGGACTACTTGTGGTTTGCACATGGCCTTTACTCTGCATTGCCTTACTGAATAATGTTTAGATTGGATGTGTACATTTAGTCTGTCACTGACTGCAAATAGTAAATGTCTGCTTAATGCTAGCCATACGTGTAGCAGTTGTGACACTGATCCTGCACTCAGAAGTAGATGGCTCAGTCTTAACTAATTTAGTTTTTTTTTTTTATGTACACATATGGTCAGTGCTCAATTATTGTTTGTTTGGCTCCAGACTGTTCAGGGAACAATAGAAAATGTGCATGATTACCTCATATAGGCACTCTAGTACAAAGTCAAGAATTCACAAGTTGCCACACATGCATCATGACATACTTTGGTGTGCTGTGTGTTTCTGACCCCCTTCTTTATACACTACAATTGCATTCGCCAGAGATTTTGGTTCGCAGTGCACTTGACTTGCTTCAGGTGCAGTGTTCTATGTGTATATCCAGATTCATTGTTCTGACAAAACAGCTTTTGTTGTTGTGCCTCACAATGCACGTATCAAAATCACTGTGCTCTCCACTCATTGGAGCAAATGAGTTTTATCTGTCCACTGACTAATTCGTGAGAACTGGAAATTCCTTGTGGCAAAAATCCCAAACCTAGTACACACCAGAAGGAATGCAAACCTGCCTCCCTAAATAATTTTTTCCTAAGGTAGTAATGATCTCTGCTACTTTGGCTGTCAGTCAGGCCAGAAACAGAAGATCTATAGAGCAGTTGTGTTACAAGAGAGTCAGGAGACATATTGACACAACTGCTACCGGGGCATGGCAGTCAGCACTTTAGCACTTTTTAGTCTTGACCATGAGATGTGATTGGGGCTGATTTTATAGAAACTGGAGCAACATTGCTTTGTTACCCGTCACAACCAAACAAGGAAAAGCTGATCGTGCCCACAGGCATCAATATGGCTTGGCTCTTACTGACAATCGGTGACCTTTATCATGGATACAGATAACAAGTTCCTTTTACTGCTGTTGAGTGCATGAAATCGTTTGCAACTTGCCCTTTAAGCTTCAGATCCAAGACAGATGTGGTTGTTTGAGATCTGAAGAGCTCCGATGATAGATGGTGGTATATATTGCCTCACAGCAAACCTCCGCTTTCACCGGTTTGACCAAACTAAACCAAAAGTTGGTTAGCTGTGAAATCTTTAGAACTGTTGTTTTGTGCAATTAAATAGTGTAGGCTCTAACATCTGGAGTGCATCAGTTATCTCTGACTATAAGAATCCAACTCATAGTAGATGTTAGCACATCTCCAGTGTATGAATTGGTAACACTTGTGGTTATTTAAAGAGAACGGTAGTGCTCGCATTGTTAGTGGTGATTAGGGGATAGTTGGGAAGGGGAAAAGTCAGGATCCATCAGTCCCAAATCCTTTACAGTTCTCTGACAAAACATGGCTTTGCATTGTATACAACTTACATTCTCTTTATACATCTGAATTTGTGAAAAACTGTCCAAATAAAAGCAATGTACTGTATCAGTGATGCTAGTAAGATTGCTTTGTGAAAGCATGACAAAGCTTTTATGGATCATTAGCAATCTCAAACTTCAAAACACTTAACCCCCCCCGCAGGCACTTTCTGTAATGTAAGCAAATAACTCCCTATACATATATAATATGACATCTATCACTCTGTTTCCATTATGTGACTTGTCTCTTTCAGACACAGACATCTTTTTCTTGTCAGACAGACACTGACACAAATAGCTTTAATGATGTAAAATAATTCTTCCATTGCATTCGCTTATGCTTGAAACATGCAGATTGTTCTTGTCACACCAGGACAGTGATTTCAATTTCATGTATCTGCCTTGCTGAAACATCTGCCTTCATGTCAGATAGCTCAAGTCATTGGGTGCATTGCCAAGTATGCACTTTAATAGTGTAAAGGTTCTTTTATAGACAGATGTTTTATGTTGTTTTGTAAATGTTTAGTCTCTTAAAGAATCTTGGTCAACACTGAAAGTTATATGCAACTTTTAAAGATTACCACTCAAACTATACCTTGTGGCTCTGGTTCACTCGACTAAAGTGCTCTAATCTTTAGATAATGCGTGTGTACTAATGGAGAGTGTCAAAATGTAATACATATGTTAAATCACATGCATATTTCCTACATACTCAAGACAAACTATAATATAGTATACCTGTAATAAGAGATTGATGTAGGCTGTCATTGCCGACCTCTCCTTTTCAGATTGGTAGTTTCCTGATTCTGCTGATCTAATGGTTTCAATACTTTCAGTCACTGACCCTGAACAAGCAAAAGGAATTCCAACATGTTCCTGAAAATTTACTACATGCTTGTTCTAGGTCTGTGACACAAAAGAATTAAAGGCAGGCAAAGCCATGGCATTTCGAGATGGAGACCAGCAGTGGCAGCTCTAATATTTCTCTCATGACTTGTGTACTTAACTGACACTAAACTCGGGTGTTAAATCTTAAAAATGCATTCAAGTACCTTAACTATTAACAAAAATGTATGTTATTTGTGTATCACTCAGATACAGATCCTCAAATCATCTCTGAACTGGTGCCAACACTGTCCTTCCTTCTGGAGGGAGACTACTTTTGTTCCCCATGATCCCCGTGTGTGTTGTAGAGTAGTCACCGCTCGAAGCTCACTCCCGTGATGGACTACAATCTCACGTTTAGTTTACTAACTTGTATTGAGATTGCAGTCCATCACAGGAGTGAGCTTCGAGCGGTGACTACTCTACAACACACACGGGGATCATGGGGAACAAAAGTAGTCTCCCTCCAGAAGGAAGGACAGTGTTGGCACCAGTTCAGAGATGATTTGAGGATCTGTATCTGAGTGATACACAAATAACATACATTTTTGTTAAGGTAAGATTTAACTCCTGAGTTTAGTGTCATCCTAATTCTGATTCTAGTGGTTTATTGTTCTTAATTTCCAGGTGTGGAGTTTGAAACACTTAAATCAATTAAACTTTAAAAAAAAAAAGTAATTAACATATACTAGTGTTTAAGGAAATGGGAAATAATACACAGGTATGTTTCTTGTGGCAGGTTCCTTTTGATGCATATTCAATTTTGATACATTTAACATTTTGCATAATCCCATAAACTGTTTAAAAAAAGAAATGTATTTTTTGGCAAAATGTTCGCAATAAAGTTGCAACTTGTACAAATGTATAGTTTTTGTTTCGATGTCCAATTCTTCACAGTTTTATTCCAATTAGCCAAACATGGCTATCAAGGTGGCATCCAGAGTGCTGAACACACTTTACAACTGAGAAGGGGATGCACTATCTAGTATACTGGTGGTAGGTATGGTAAATGGTTTACTGGTAAATATAATATACATGTTATATTGAATAATATTTGAAATATGTTCACGTAAGAGTTAGAAGCACTGACTTGGCAGGTTTCCATTCTTCTATCCTCTAATGCAGTGGTTCTCAACCTTTCCAGGCCCGGGACCCCTTGGTAACATTTGCCAAGTTGTGGTGACTTGCCATTTAGGAGAACTGACACTGTTGCGCTAGTAGGATGCTGAGGAGCCTCTTACCTAGAGCAGCACAAGGCACGTTGGGAATCCCTCAACTGTGGGCCGCGACCCACAGGTTGAGGACAACTGCTCTAATGTAAACGGGAGATTTGGAACGTGGCAGGGTGAGCTGAGCTGCTGAGAAAAGACATTTGAGGATTAATTTTTCCTCAGTGCCTGCAGCTACAGAGGTCAGTGAATGTTTGTTTTAAAGCTCATTTTCAGATGGATAAGGATATATAAATACTTGAATGGCTAGAGCCTGGCCACAAGTTCAATTTAAATTTGCACACTTTCAACTGTTGTGCCATGTCCCCTGTAGTTCTTTAGCACAGCACTTCAAAGATCAGTACAACAAGTGTTTCATAATCTTTAATGTATAAATAGCTAATGAATGTTACATTGTGATACTTGCTATCTCTTGAGATTTCCCGTGCCTGCGACCAAAGTTCAGTTTTTGAAAGTCATCTTTGATATCGAGGAATGATTTGTTCTTTGTTTCTGGTACAATACAGTAAATAAAAGTTGCTATCAAGGTGCACACCGCAAAGAAAAACAGGAAGCAATACTGATTCAACCCATTCTGGAAGAGAGAAAAAAAAAAACAGTTCATCCAATCTGACACGGATAGGCTTCTGTAGTACACCAAAGTACAACTACCATAGTCCATCAAATGGTGTTCTACTGATATGACTTTCGCCCACCTTGATCTGGTTAGCTGCTACTAACTACCTCACGTTATCAGCAGTTTAGAAAAAAAATAATGAAATTATGGTTTGGAGGCTGATGAAATATTAAGGGTTTGTTCACACCGAAAGCGTGTGCGTTCCAGAGCGGTAGCTGCTGGAACGCACCGCGATCGCTGTGAAACTTCCCCCCGCGGGAGGGGCGTGGTGGTGCATTGTATTCAATGGCACCGCTTCCACGCACCACCTCCCACAGTGCGATCGAACGCGTGGCAAAACTTTGCCAGCAATGCGTTTGCAGTGAACGCAACGCTTGTGATTTAACTGATGTATTTTCCTTCATGATTCTGTTTGTGGAGCTGGAATAGTTGGGATTTGTTAAGCTAAAAACAATTTCCTCTAGGGAAGCAATTTTCATTGCCATTATTTTAGCAAATCCATAAGCTTTCTCAAAGCACAGTTAAGAGGGTCTGGCTTCATTATAACCACCTTAAAATAACTCCACTGTATGAATGGCTCTATCCTTAGTTAAGGATAAGTCTTAAATAGTCCCATCTATTCCTGATCTGCTGACACCCCAAAATGTGTCAATTTCTTTCACATTCAGTCACCAGCACACAGAGAGGGTGAATGTCCCCAAAATGGACAGAGACCATAATACAAACCTGACAGTATTCTAATAGCTCTCTACTCTATGCAAAACTAAAAAAAAAAAGAGTTTTGACCTCAGTTACACTTTAAAGTTGCAGGGGATGCTTGTAATTTGTAGCTCTGTGTAGACGTGTAATACAGTGAGCCAATCCTACAAGCAGAAAATGAATCTAGAACTTTCTGCAATCCCAGATTTCTATGTTGCATGGAAACTACATTTTTAACATTAGTTTACAAACTGCCTCATATAGCAATTATACAATTTACTTTTTTTTTTTAACATAGTTGGAAAAACTTTAGTCAGTTTTACTCATCCCCCTGTAACTCTAATTTACTCACTACCTCTCCTAAAAGCTTGTAGTAAACTGGAAACCAGCATACAAGTAGTCTGTCAGAATCTGGCTAGGAAGCTGTACAATTTCTTATGGTTTCCGTCACCAGGAAATGTATCTTTTATAAAAGATACATAACCAAAAGATATGCTGGGGGTACAATGCCCCTTATTATAGCACTGCAAGTGGTCAAATAAAGACAAACTTTTACTTACATTACTTTATTCCAGTGCACATGGTATGTAACGAACAAGACAATCTTGTCCTAGGGGCAAGGGCTGGCCCACCACTCAAGTGACCAGTTGCCATGTGCACTTGAATAAAAAGATATACAGGTAGGGACTGGAGGAGAAGCATATATACAAATGATACTTACCACTATGAAAGGAAAGGCTATTCCTATAGCAAAGAAGCTGATCCAGTTTACAGATCCTCCTATTATAAATGCTCCAGCTCGTGATGACTGAGTAAATAACTCTGCAGTTAATGTATTTGTAACGCCACCTGCAAATTCAGGAGAAATATCTTTAATGATAGACCACTCTTATCAACACAAAATCAAGCTGCATCTGCACCTCATGGTATCAAATATGTACATATATAATGTTGTTATTGGAGACAGACAACATAGCTGTGCAATTCATACAGGATGTCTAGTTTCTTACCTGGTCCTAAACCAAAGCTCATTATAAACGCAAGTATAGTAGACATACTGAAATACGGCACCCATGTATAAGCTTCCTATAGGAATAGAGAAAAGTATTACCGGGTATTATTATTATATATTGCAGCAAAATATTCTGTATCACTTACATAAATATTCCAAAAATATCTTGAACTCTGGACGTTTTCTTCAACCTGACTGATAATGCAAATGTAAACCTTGTGTAACTGTACATTCAAACAATTTGTAAGGACTGCAAGGCAATAACCAATCCTCATTCATCTCCTGAACTAACCTACACTAAAACCCTACAAACCCAGCTGATTAAAGTTCCTACCAAAACATAGTTGCTAGAGTGGGGATGAGTTAGAACCTAGTTTTTTTTCCCCCCTCTATCTCTGCTGGGAAAATTTTCCATCACTTCTAAGCAGTGTACAGGAAGTGATATGGGACACATTTGTCCAAGAAAACCTGGTCATCCCCCTTTTTTACTCTACTTTACAAAATGTCACATCTCCATAAAGTTAAAACCATTAAGACAAAACAAAATAAAAAAAACCTGCCTTCTCAAAATCCTGAACTTGCAGTTAATCCAGGGGAAGTAAAAAAAAAACCCTTATGAAGGGTGGTCCAATTTGCTCCAATAGGGAAATAAATCCTTCCTGATCCGTTAAGCCAGGAGTTCTCAAACCTTCTAACCAAAGGAAAAATGCCCTAGCGTCAGTGGGATTAAATAAGCCCCAACGTTGGTGAGCAGTGGGAGTAAAAAGCAACCTAATACCTCTGGTTAGTGGGAGGAGCAATAATGCCACATTATTCCCGTCAGCAGGAGAAATAGTGCCCCAAGGGCACCTGCACTTAAAGGCAGGCGAAGAGCTGCGTCTGACCTGTTGGCCACAGTTTGGGGACCACTGCCATAAGGCATTAAGGCACTCCATGGATCAACACTACAATTTGCTCCAGTTGTTGAACTTTTGCTCCCATTCTGTTTTGGTGACCACACCGGAAGTAGTGAAAAATCTCAATGGCTACAGAAATAGCAATAAAATCCTGATGGAGGTTTTAATCCTTATTCACTAATAATTACAAAAAAAAAAAGCTTTGGCTTGAGTTTGGCCTTAACTCAGTAGGCCAGCTATGCCCTGCTCAACTGGTGTGAAGATACTCAGAAGATGGCTCTATACAAGTCTGGGCGGGTTCATTGTACCATAATACCTGCTATTATATTTTCTAGTCATAGAAACCCATGCAGGACCTTTCGGATTAAGTTTCCCTTTGTTACTGATGCCTCGCTATGCTTGACTTCATGGACATGCCCTTCTGACTGTCATCCCACTGGGACTGCCTCAAAGGCTAATAAAAGCACTCTTATTGGACAGGAGGGTGGCAGATGGTAGAGTTTGTTACCGTGGACTGATTTTTTTTGGATTATATGGCAAAGTTAAATAAAATCTGGAAGGGTCACAAAGGGATTTTCTGTCTAATAAAAATGGTGGTGCTGTCTCTGCTCTTAGGCTCTCTCAAGGTCACTTGAATTTCCTGTTGTTATTATCTGTTATTCCACTTTTAGAATCAAGTGCTGCTCCTGTGCTTTGGAAGCATGTGAACAGGAACCCGATTCTCCCAGACAGTACACTATTGTAGGAGAACTATTCATGTTTTCTCTGATTAGTAAATAACTTGGAATTAAGGATAAAACAACACAAGGATGATTGTATCAACATTATGGTTTTTGCATTATCCTCTAAAATATCGCGTGCATTCAGTCCTGTGATACATTACAAAGACACAATCAACATTTTTCTTTTTACTTCAAATCATAGAAATCTAAAATCTCCTGGGGGAGAAAAAGAACATTCCAGCCGAAGCGGCTTATGAGGTATAGATGTGATGACAAAGGACATAGGAAGTTTAAAACAAAAAAATAATTCTACAATCAAATTGTTCTGTTCACACAGAAAAAGGGATAGTTAAAGTGACATGAAACTCAGGCATTAAATCGTAAAAATACATTCAAATACCTTAACTACTAACAAAAATGTAACTTATTTGTGTATCACTCGGCTGTAGATCCTCAAATCATCCCTGAATTGGTACTGACACTGTCCTTCCTTCTGGAGGGGGGCTACTATTGTTCCTCATGGTCCCTGTGTGTGTTGTAAAGTAGTCACCACTCCAAACTCACTCCTGTGATGGACTACAGTCTCATGTTTAGTTTACTAATTTGTATTAAGATTGTAGTCCATTATAGGAGCGAGGTTGGAGTGGTGACTACTTTACAACACACACAGGGACCATGGGGAAGAAAGGTAGCCACCCTCCAGAAGGAAGGACAGTGTCAGCAGTCAGCACCAATTCAGAGATGATTTGAGGATCTACAGCTGAGTGATACACAAATAAGATACAGTATTGTAAATAGTTAAGGTACTTGAATGCAGTTTTAAGCTTTAACTCTGTAAAAGTAATATAAAACTCGCACCTCTCTTCACTTCTTTCCTCCTTGTGCACTATTTTTATATAGTTTGTAGATATGTTATAAATCATCTGCTGAAAAATATGCTGGCTGAATGCCATTCGCATGGCACTCCCACCACTAGATGGAGCCAAGGAGTATAGGTAATTTCTATTTTCCTTGGTTAATGCCATGTGAATGTCTTGACAGATTATTTATAACTCATCCCCTATCTATTCTCTTATCCTCCTTTCTATTCTCTCTTAGCTCCCTCTTTTATGGCACACATTAACACTTGGTACCCTCTTTAGTGTAGCCTGCTGCCATCTCTTCACCATATTTTCTTTAAGAGTACCTCTAAGCACCTAAAGACAATGAGGCCGGCCTCTACCACAATGTGGTTGCTGTGCTATAAGAAAAAAGATAATGCTACTCCTAAATATTAGTATTCAAATACCTTCTATATACCTTCACGACTGTCACCCATTAGGACGGACAGTCTCTCTTTTGGAACCATTTCCCTCTGTTGTTCCTCTCATGAATCTGATTTATAGACCTCTGCACTAAACTTTCATCCATCCTCCACTTTAATGTTTTTTTTTTTATTTTGAAAAGACAGGACAGAGGAAAAGTAGAACAGAAAACAAGTATTGCGTGTTTGCATTGCAATAGACAATACAGTCAGAAATATTACAATAGATTGTTACTGGAATCCCATACCTGAAATGACAATGTCACGGTCAGTATAACACACCACAATGCCATCAAAGAGTATCCTCCAATAATTAGTAACCGTCTTCCAGCTCTGTCTATGAACAGTCCCTAGAAGTTTGGAAAACAAGTACACTTTATCGAAGCAGAACTCATTATTGCTGACACCACCTGAAATAGCATTGTCATCTCCACTGTAAAATATATATGACAGAGTATTGATAAACTATATGTGCATTTCATTGGCATTAACCGCCCCTATGTAAAGCATTTCTGTAAGAGTTCTCTGCACACAGGTACTAAGCACACACCTCTTAGTGATACATTATTGACCTGTGATGTCTGTCAGCAGGTACCAGGGTTGCCAACTCCATTTAACTGCTGATAGCAATACATGTTATAGGATTTATTGTTGGAAAAAAATTAATCTTGCAGGTGAACTGCAGAAAAAACATGGCAGCTATTCGATCACACCATGTGAACTACAGTATACAAAACTGCAAAGAAACCAGTAAACATTATTGCAGTCTTACATTTCTCTTCTTTGAAGAAAAAAACAATCATGCAATCTGACTGCTAAGTAGGAGGACTTTCATTATTACCACTTGATAAGTTTCAGTGCAGTATAAAAAAATAAAAAATAAATCACCATATGCATCCATTTAACCAAGATACATCTTTAATGGAATGAGGTCTAAAAATGTAATGGCTGTGTAAGGGGATGGTTCTAATTTTGCCAACAGCTCTGTGCAGACTCGTGTGAAAAGCAGTAAGTCAATTATACAGCCAAGAAATTATATTTCTGAGGGTGTTCTGTATACAAACAATGTAAACAGAGATTGCCATGTATATTATTCATAGCAGTGTATATAGATGCATTGACTTGAGCTGTACCTGAAAACCTCTTTCATAGAGCTGAATGGGACTTCACCCTGCGCTGGCTCCACATGTCACAGAAAATGGTGCACCAGGCCTCAAGGGCACTAAATATAGGGCTTACCAAAAGAAGCCAAGGCCCCAATTGCAGGACCTGACTCCCATAATTTCAGAAATGCTAAAAAGTTCACAGTTATGGGTTCCTTATTTTTAGGAGAGCCTGCCTACAAGTTCAAAGGCAAGGTGGGCCACCCATGGGCAGCGGGAACTAGTCCGGGGAGAGTTCAGAGACCAGCTTCGGTTAGTAGTATGCAAGGTGATGGAGCATCTTCGGTTAGTAGTATGCAAGGTGATGGAGCACTGCCAGGCTCATACTACCGGTAGTCAGGCCCCATTCACACCTGTGCAATATAAAGCACATTGTTGAACAAGAGCATTGCCATTCCTTTCTATGGGGCCTGTGCACACATGCGCTGCTTTGTGTTTAATAACATCGTACAGGTGCGTTTTTAATCACGTAGACTTCAATGGCAGTGCATGAAAAATGAATTGTAGTGCATGCCACCAAGCCCCCCCCCCCAAGGCTAGAAACTTTTACCTTATTTGACTTCAGTGGCCAAACAAAATTATGTGGAAAGCCTGAAAAATGCAGGAACAGCAATAACATGCAAGTCAACGTACCTATAACAGCCCACAATATAAACTGCACCAAGACAGACCGTAGCTGACACTGCTGTTCAAAGTGTTACGTTGGTGAGTAAATTACATTATTACAAGGAGGGCAGCCTCTGTCTCTGGATTTCACAGCATTACATGGATATTTACTAGCTGTACACACCATTAAATGAATATGCCTTTTTTTCTTTTAGACACTTTGAACCAGGGAATATTAACTTACAGCTCTTATAGACTTCTTAAGCAAGAGTTCCCTTTCATGGCCAGTACAAAGGTATCCTCTCCCTGTTGGGTTCATTTATTTTATATGATAAAGAATGGAGCAGGAGAAGTGGGAACACCTAGGGCAGACAGGGCCACACAAAAGTCCTCAGTGAGCGGAAAAAGAGTGAGTAACTATGGCGCAGAGGAAATTTCCCTACTAGAGTCCCCATGAGATGTGGGAAAGTAGCCCACCAGATTCAACCTATATAAAATATTATGAATATATATTTATACAATTGTATATAAAATATAACTTTTGGGTGACATTTCTTTTAATATGTTCAAAGAATATAAATGATCAATATAATAAAACCTGTTAAAGTAATGTGACTTACACATGTTACTGCTGTGATACATTCACAGACTCCAGTTCCCAGCGTAACATAGGGAATTTTTTGTTCAGGTATCCCTGATTTTTTAAATACATATTCTGCGTAAAAATAGATCTGTAAGACAAACAATAGTATAAAAGTTAGTGAGCTGTGTGCACGTTTTCTAGTAACAGTATCATGTTTTTTTCCAGTATTCCTGTAATCACATGACATATTCACCATCCACCGAGAAATACTTCAATTTGCCTTTCTCTCAGTTAATTAGAGGCATCAGACATCTTGGGTTGTCATGTCTTTGAGACTGTACCATAGACAGGGCTTGAAAAATCTTAGCGTGGTCTCACCAGTCAGCATGACCGGACTATAGCCTTGCAATTTATGTTACTTTTTTTTTAGGGACACAGAGCTTTCTTTTGGTGGTATTTAATCACCATGGGGGGAGGGATTCTTTTTTAATATATAATGGAAAAAGTACCGTCATTTTTTTTTTTTTTTTTTAAGAAAGTTTCCCCACGTTACGTTAAAAAACATCTATTCTTACCCATATTTTTGGTAAAATATAAAAGTCGGGGTCACGTCGAGTAAATAGACACCAAACATGTCAAGCCTTAAAATTGTGCACGCCCGCAAAATCGCAAACGGCCACACTGAAAATTGGCCATAGGCGATGCTTAAAACGCTTTTATTGCTCATTATCGTTATCAGTAATTAATGGCCCTAAAATTATTGCTCACACTCTGACGTTCACGATGATATGTAACATGTGCACCACAATAGGCAAATCGTCGTTTTTGCACGTAGGCGCATATGAGCGTGTGTATGTGGGGGGCGGGTGACTTAAAAAGAATGTGTGGGTTTTTTTATGCTTTAATTTTTGTTATTTTGTTACACAACTTTATTGCTATTACATAGGGGCTAATAAGCCCCCTATGTGATAGCCAATTTACATGACAGGTCCTCTTTACGGAGACATCAGCCTAGAGATCCCCAGAGAAGCTGATGAAGCAGAGATCGGCTACATCAGCTTCGGTAGCTGGAGATTGACACTGAATGCAGGAAGTGATGTAATATACATCACTTCCTGCATTCGGGGACTGAGAAGAGATCAAAGGGAGTTCGTGTACCGAGCTCCCTTTGATCTCCTGTCACAGAGCAGCCGCGCCGGTCCCGGCCGCATCCGGCACAGCGGATCTCGGGACTGGCAACGGCAGTGACAGCTGCTCCTATACAAGCAATCGGGCGTCTCTGGAGACGCTTGATCGATTGAATGTAAAGCACCCGGCCGTGTAATTACAACGGCCGGCAGGGAAGCTGCTCGTCGGGCAGCCCTGATTTTTCAAGCCCTGACCATAGATGACGTTAGGTAACAGACTTGCATGGGTAAAAAAAAAAAGGCCATATGAACATCCACAAACAATGCTTAAAATATAAAGCTTTAGTGTGCCAGGTGTGAATTCTTTTCACATTCATTGAATAACACCATTTCCCATTTTGCAGTTGAAGTGTGTATTTTAATTAAGTCAAGAAGGTCATCGGCTAAACAAACTAATTACACCAAGCATGGTGGATTTGTTATCTTAATACAGTCACCCTGCAAATAATTAGGAAATATTTTACTTTTCTATTGGTTGTTCTCTGGAAAAATGTTATACTGAAAGAGTGTCAAAGACATGAGATCAGAAGTCAAATTATTAAAATCTTTTCTTTTTACTTGCTCAAATTCCTAAATATAAACACTACAACTAGGCATGCACAGAGACCAGTGCCGATACTTGGCATTTTTACGAGAACTACCATGGTTGCAGCCGTTACAGCTGGGACTGGGCCCTGGCACTCCACCACTGTCCTGAAATCTTCAGTCAGTATTGTTTTAGAAAAACTGTCACATGACAATAAACAAAAAAATGTATCAGTATTTGTATCTGTGAGTAGACAAAATGGCATAGGTGCATCCCTAAATAAATATAAATACCGTATATTAAAAACAGGGATGCACAAATCCCAGGAGCACCATATGCTCCTTACAAATGACATCTGCCTCCTAAATTTTTAGTTTTTCTCGAGTCTAGTCCTGGAGCTGGAAAAGTATCTGAACATCCTTAATTACAAAACACGTTCAAACACCTTCTTCAGGATCAGTGGTGGCTAGGCGTGCAGTCCTGCGACTGTGCTATATGTCACATATAGCATACAACGTCTAACCAGCACTGTGCCTGAAAAAGGGGGCATTTTTAGACACCTGACATTTATTGGCATGTTTCTCCTAAATAATTTGAGCAGATAAAAAGGAAAAGAAAAAATTAATACCGTATATACTCGAGTATAAGCCGAGATTTTCAGCCCATTTTTTTTCTCCCGATCTTGTGTTCAATGCTCATGTTCACTTTTGCAGAGAACTACTAGAAACACTTACATTCACGTTTACTAGAATTTGAACAAATTAAAATGGAAAGAAAAATTAGAATTCTTTGACTGATTGAATGCATGTGTTTGGAGCTCCTTCAAGTCAGGTTTTCCAGGGGGATGAAGCCCTCCCGCTTGGGGGCTAGCTTGTTTTTATGAGCAAATTAGATTAAAGCATATAAGAGCCATTCATAAAGGGAATCAACCAGAAACATCACCATTGACAGAAGTAGTCGTATTATTTTCTGTTCAATTACAAGATCCAGCATCCATAATTTCCTGCACTGCTCTCAAAGAGCTGAAATAAAATTTACAGAACTCCACAGAAACGTGTGCAATAATCCTTAGGGCCTGTGTGGATGCTTTTTGAGCTTGTGTCAATGGGATCAGGTTGAGATGCTTCTAAGATCATTCAGAATTCATTGAGCGGTGCATTTGACCTGCAGTTAATCTCCTTCTGACAGGAATTCAACCTTGAAGGGATTTTGCATGCACGTAGACTTGTAGGGGAATGCAAAACCCATTTGAAGCGCATAAAGTCCATCACCACAGACGCTTAGCAAGTTGAGGCTTATGTGCTGTTGGTTAGATGTTGGCATAAATTTGCATATACTTACTGCATTGATCCCACTAAGCTGCTGTCCCATGTTGCAGATGATGACCGCTATAAGCTGCCATTTGATCGTACGATCGAAGAACAACTCGAGTACCTTTTTGGGTTTCTCATCATTTAAAGCTTGTGATTCTTTTTGAATATCATCCATTTCCATCTGATAATCATTTGAACCGTAAAGCGCTTTGAGTGCTAGGAAATACAAAGTAATATACTGAATGCTGTGATATAGACAGCCTGTTTATAACTTTTTAGGTAAACAATAAAAAGATATGGATTCTTGAACTCCATGTGTTACAGTTTACCTTTTTGACACCGATATTCATCTTTGTTGTCTATGAAAAGGTATCTGGGGCTCTCTGGGAAGAATGGCAGGGAAGCTAGCTGTAGAAGAGCAGGTATGGCACATGTAGCCAGCAATAAAGACCAGTTGTTCTCACTGCCCAGTAGTTCCCTGATGAACACATAACAGATAAAAGGTTACTGATTTCATGAATAAAGTATATAGTACTGGTTTGTTTAATAAAATAATGCAAAGTATTATGACTGCGCAAAGTACAGATAACATCCAGTCAAACATCAGGTTGAAATAACCAGTTGTAGTCAGATGGCCACAAAGATGGGATCTGACTGGCAGATATGGGTTAGTGCAGTTTGCAAAAGTCCCTGCACTTTGTAGTACTTAAAGGGGACAAAGCATTAGACATTTGTTCATGGTAAGTCCATTAATGGTAATTAATTCTTAAAGCACATCTCTGGCAAACCAACATTTCTACCCCCACACTGCAAGTGTTAGGCGCTCATTAATGTTTTAGAAGAGAGAAAGGGACCTGGGGACCTTCTCTCTGCCAGCATCCCTCACCAATATGGCCGTGCATGCGCGATGAGGTCATCACGCATGCGCATGGTGACTCCATGGCGGGGTGTAACCCGCTATCCGCTCTGAGTGACACTTGGCCTCGGGATGCTCCTGGCTGAAGTAAAGCAGATTTACTTACCTGGTTACTGCTCCTTTGGCTGTCAGTGCTCTCCTCTTCTCCCCCTCACTTTTGGCTGGTGGAATCTCTCTCGGCGTCCTCACATCTAATGCAAGTCTATGGAACCTCCACTAGACATCACGACATCAGTGACCCCTAGCAGCCTAGAGTGTCAGGTACGTAAATCTGCTTTACTCTTGTCCCCTAGATATAACCCTTACATCTTGCAGTGTAGGGGTAGCCCTACTGCCAGAGTACTGTTGCCTTGAGATGTGCTTTAAGTTTAAACATCTAAAAAAAGGTATGCATTATCTTTCACAGTGATCACAGTACTTCTTGACAATACCTTTCTCCACACATGGACAGAACCACATTTTTACAGGCACCCTCCAGAGTCATTAATTGGACTGAGAACTGGCTCAGAGATGACAATTACTGTATATAACCATGGGGGAAGGGGAAAGGAAATGCTTTTTTCTGCCTGCAGCAGACTGGTGACATCATCTAAAAAGTAACCTACCTGAACTTCAATGACTGACTTCGAGGGTGCATTCACACCAAAATTGAAAGGAAATCGCAAGTAAATGGACTTGCAATTGTACCTTCTGATTTCCTTGCGATCTGTTGCAATCCATTTTTCAACAGATGCTAATCGAAGGGCACCGAAAAATGAATGGGTGTGAAAGGGGTTAGTTCACACCGGATCTGTTGCGTTACGCTGCAATGAAAAGTAATGCATGTCTTACTTTTTTTTTTTCCAGTGCAACCTAATGTAATGGAGCTGTGTGAACTAACCCCATTGAACCATTCATTTTTGGTGCCCTTCTATTAGCATCCATTGAAAAACTTATCTCAACAGATCCTGTGTGAATGGGCCATTAATTAAAAATTTTGGAGCATTTTTAAAAACCCTTTAAAACTAATAATGTTACTGCATATCATGTCATGTGCGGCATTTAATCATGCATAAAATCCTCAAAAGGTCCCCTTTAAACAAGCTTGAATCTGTGTTCCTAATTCTACTGATCCTTATCATTTTACTAGTTTTAGTGCCCTTACTGTAAATAGGTTGATTGCACTTTAATGGAAGATGTCAGTTCATGCAGGCATGAAACAACGTACATTATTTAGTTAGCAATTATGTCTGCTAAATGGAAGTTATAATGTCACATTACACTCCAGGAAAAGAAGGTTATTTCAAGACATCAATACAAGTGGGCTAGTGTACCCCCAATTGACTGACCTTATAAATGCACTAGACCACTCAGAAATCTAAAGTGAATCGAATTTATTGTAGTGAGTATAGTGTTCCTTAATTTAAACCAAAAATCACTTGTACCTATAGAAACCATAACAATAGCACAAAAGACTATTGTATACAAGCTGTAATGCATGCACACAGAATTACTAGCAGCCACAAAAAAACAATCTTTAATAAGGCAGACCAATACAAATGGCCATAAGACCATGTTAAGTTAAAAACCATTTAAAAACATACAGCCATCCTTCCATATAAAGTCCTCTTTACCGTTGAAACAGTCCATCTAGATCACTACACTGAACAACATCATAGATTTCTGTAATTTTCACAAAAAGATGCCTCAGAGTAAGCTAAACCTGGTATCACTGTCATACATTTCTTAGATATGCCTCACAGGAAATGCAACCGTTCATAAAACTAAAAGTACAATCCAAATATCTCCATCAAAAATGCTTGACAGCTATTGAAAAAAGATACCCTGAAATGGCATGCCTATGTTTTATAGGGCAAGCAGGATTTTGCAAGGTTTCTTTATTTGCAGACATAACATGCCAATTTATAGCCCCCCACCCCCACAAACACTGAAACTCTGGCACTTTTCTATAGGATTTTACAGCTGAATGAACAGACTCACAAACTGATGAACATACATACCTGGGTGAATTCTCAGGCAAAATAAGGCCCTTTTGGCAGTAAGATAATGCAAATCAACCTTGTTAAACCCCACTTGAGCAACCAAACAACTGAAAGTTACTGGAGTTCCAACCAGATTAATGTCAATGCAACACCCATTCAAACAAAGGTTCAATGATGGTGGCAACTGGTTAATTAAACAAATCAACTGGTGCCAGAATGTGTTCAGACTGCATGAAGAGTTCATACTGACATTTACAAAGATATACAAAGCACTTTTACATTTTACAAGGTAGTTAGTAATATTTGTAATGTGAGACTACATACTGTAAACCAATAACTTGTCCTGTAAGGATTCCGCCAGTCAAGAAAATATTAATTGCCACTGTAGTTAGGCCTCTGATTCTCTTGGGAGCTATTTCTCCAAGATACAATGGCTGCACACACAAACCAACACCTGAAGAGGTAAAAAAAAAGTACACATATTATTAATACTGGAGAATTAGAATAAAGGAGACCCTCTTACCAGTCAGATCCTAGCCGTCATTTTTCAGATGTGGGTGGGGAAATTACTTCTCATACTGGTACAGTCCTACTTTGTTGGTCTCTTTTATTTATGGATCATCCCAGTAAGTATTACAATTTTAATCTGCTTATAATTTCAGGCTGTATATGTATCACAGAGTGGAAATGGGCCTCCATACAAGCCTGTTCTCGATTTATTTAATACCATTCTTTGTATTGCATTTGGCAATTTCAGACAGAGTAGGACTGCACAAGACAACACAGAGGTATTCTGACATGCCACAGAGCTTCCATGTAAACGTATGCACTAAACTGTATGTCAGTGGTCCTCTTTACTGAATATTACAATGCTTATAAAATCCCTGACTACATAACAGGCACTTAAAGAGAATGAAATGTTAATCTTATTTACACAGGAAGTCTGCCCACAACTCCTGGGAATGAACAGCAATTACCTGTGAGATTTTGTTCAAAATGGACATCTGTCTGTGAAATGTTAAAGCTATCAGACCAGTGACAGGTTTAATAAACCGCCTGAATTATTAATGGTAAACAAGGGACAATAAGCAGTAAGTTTAGGAAAGGACCCGTATGGTGAATCCAGCATAGCATTTTCTCAGTTTCATAAATAAGCAGCTTAAATTCAGGGCATATTAAAAAAGCTAAACTTCAGTGGACCTGAATGATTGAATTCCACATAAATATTCATACATTATATGTCACTTACACCCGAGACATATTAACTCTTTCCATAGTCACTTACAGGATAAATCACCACCTGTTCATATTTCTCAGAGGCGATGAAGCTTCCCCATAGTATTTACTTTTTCCTCTATAGTGTTTTTTTTGCCTCCGACATGGGCATAATGACAGGTCCCCCTCTCACACTCGGCCTCCCCAATTAGTTAAATAGAGACCCAAGAGGGAAGTGTGACACCATAATTAGCTCTGTAACGGTCATATCAATTGAGCAGGACTAGAAATTCCAAAGGTTATGTCTTCCCATTGGAGTCCCTGAGAGATTTAAGAGGCCAACATGCGCTTTAACATCATAGCAACCACCTAACCACCCAACCATCTGAATATCAGATTTGTGTGTAGGTGACTCACTTCAGTGGGCAGATTTTCCTACAATCTGGTTCTGTAGGAAATTAATGAGTATTACAGAGTCCCTAACCCACACCAAGTATGACCACTGCGATTCAGTGATTGAGTATCATCTCCCCACCTTCCCCATTTTAGTCTGTGACCCATCTTACTCACAATGGCAGTATTATTGTAATCATACATTTCACTGTCGGAGGAAAAAAATAGCATTGATTATACAAACCCACAGCTGTAATACACTATAAATATACCTGAAATGACCAGTCATGAACAAATCAAAATTCATATTCAATACCTTCACTGCCACAGAATGGAATACCACTTTAGCATCCAATCATACATTATTTACCTGCATTAAATCCTATAAGGAATCTCCCAACTATCAGAAGCTCATATAACCTGGCAGGTTGTGCAATTCCCATGAAGAGAGCAGCTAGAATTGCTACAACATTATTCACCAGTAAAGTCTGCTTCCTGCAATACACAATAACACACTGTTTAGGAAGAGCAAGCAATTGAAAATCCCGCACATGAATATACTGTATGTACAAACATCTCATTACAGTGACCAAGTTCTCAGTTTTAAGGGAAATTGTAATATGATTTTCTTTCATGTGCTTAATAGTGCTGAGCCTTGCCTAAATGACTTTCAATATACAACCCCTAACTTCTCTATTCAGTGTTGTTTGGGAAGAAGTGAAATTCAGTAATATGATGGGCCTCCTGTCTTACATTTGTCATGGTCTGATGGTTCTACAAGGGGATAGCCAGCAGTATAAATTATATAAAATTACATTTCTTTTTAACAAAAAATCAACAAGCAGAAACTATATAATTTACACTTGAACGTGATTGATCACCCCCCTGCAAACTAGAGTGACGGCTGGCAGATGTATTTATCACTGTGCTAGCGCGATTTATTAACCATTGTCATTACATATAGTATTACACACAGGACCGGATTTCCCACAAGGTCAACCAAGGCCCGGCCTTGGGGCAGCAGGGAGTAGAGGGGCAGCAGGGGTGTGGAATTCCTATCTCTCGAATTCCTATCTCTAGGACATGCAGTTCCATGTGCCAGGCGGGTAGTTGTTTTCTACATTTAGCCCTGCTCTGCGCAAGCAGAGCTAAATGTACAGCGGGGAAGTCGCCGCTTGTTTTGTACAAGTGGTCTCTGGGATTTTGCCGAGATCACTTGTATGCAGCCTGCAGGCCTGCCATTCTCCATGGGGGGGTAGTTGGCGGCTGGGGGGGCACATTGAGAAACCTGGCCTTGGGGCAGCAGAGAGAGTAAACCTGGCCCTGATTACACAGAGTACATACAGACATAGTATGTTTCGACTAGGCTACCACCGTAGGTACATACCTCTGCTGTACAGTTTGATTGATGTGATGTTAGACAGGAGGGTTACTTTAAAGGAGAAACATTTATTAACCCTTGCAGTAGGGCTACCCCATGCACTGCAAGAGTTAAGTGCTTGTTTTGGTCTAGGGAGAAAAATAAAGTTCATACTCACCTGATCATCGGAGCCGGCTTGCTCTTAGACCAGTCCCTGGAGCCTCTCTCCCCCTCTGATGCAGCAGTCTAAGGTCTGTGAATCATCATCATCAATAAACAGTGTATATGATGTGAGGACGCCAAGGGACATTCAATTGCTACAGTAGAGGAGAAGACAGGCTGGAGGGAGCACTGTCACGGCCTGTTGGCTCCGAGAATCGGGTGAGTATAACTGTTATTTTCCTCCCTAGACCAAAACGAGCACTTAACTCTTGCAGTGCGGAGATAGCCCCACTTCAAAGGGTAATAAAAATGATGCCCGGAGTTCTGCTTTAAAGCTGGTTATAAGATAGAATATCTTGTCTTTCTAGAGCACTGTACAGACTGGGCTGAGTGGCCTTACATTATCACTTCTTACTATGTGCTAAACTATATACGGGCATTTACACAAGACCTATACCTACCTGCCAATCTTTGCTGCTGCATGTCCACCTACAATTGTCCCAATGAGGCCTCCAATTGTAAACACTGAAACAATAATAGACCAAATGAGCGTCAACAGACTTTCATCCAAGTGGGAATGGTACCGTGCATACCAGGTATCATTGATGAACTTGTGTACATGCTGTAAAGAGATGAAACAAATGTGAAGCCATTGATAGACAAAGGTACGCTCAGCAGCTATGCAATACATTTGTTTCTCATTATTTGGACATAGAAAGGCCCACCCACTCATATTGGCCTGGAAACTTCTACCATTGCAACACATGAAGTACATAGGCATACATTAATCAAATGTGATTTTTTTTTAAAACTTGACGCTAACAGTGAGGAAACTAATGTATGTATATGTGCCAAGGCAGACCTAGAGATGTGATAAAAGCCAAGCAAGCTGCAGCCTAGAGGAGGAAAGATGCCCCTGGTTTATTCCCTGGAGACAGCCAAGAACAAAATGATGGATTTTGTGTCTGTTACTTTTTTCAGAGCAACGTTCAAATACATTACATAGTTACATAGTATTTGAGGTTGAATAAAGACATTAAATTAGCTTAGTGAATGAGGTGAAGCTCTGCTGGCTTTTTATCATCCAATCACGTGCAAGCAAACTTTTTTTTTTTTTCCTTGTACAATTTTTTTACCACAATACCAGTTTTTACCTCAATTTCAAAATTAAGGGAACATTCCCTAGGAAGTAAAAATTTTCTTGCAAAGTGAACAACCTATTTGCTTTAAGTAAATCAACCCCATTGACTCAATGCATTCTCTTTGGGCAATTATGGTCACAATATGGTATTTAAAACTGAGCTTGATATCAACTGCTAAATAGACCAATTCAATTCTATATTAGGGATGCACCGAAACATTTCGGACCGAAAATGGTACTAATGGCAAAATGCCAATAATGCCTAAACAGCCAAAAATGCATCTGAAAATAAGGTGCATCCTTAACTTCTCACCTCCACTGCAATCCCCGCTGCTCTCCTGTGTGAGCAAAGGCAGTGGTGATCAGAGGGGACACAGACTGGCACCCAGCGGGAAGGGGAGAAACTCTCAGGAGGTCAAGGCACGGAGAGGAGAGAGCTGTCAGTTGTCATAGGCCTCCTGCACCTGATCGGGGTGCTCAGCCTTCTGCGACAGGTGGAGCAGCCAGAATGGAAAGCGGAGTACAAACACTCAGCGATCAGTACTGATTGCTGAGTGTTTGTAAATAACTGAAGACATAGTATGCTTACTGTGTACCCAGTTATGATTGAACAGGAAGTGCTCCACATCACTTCCTGTTCATTCATGATTGTGGGCATAGTAACCTCAATTTATGAATGGACAGGAGCACTCAATATAGTGGATCCCTGTTAATTCATAACGGGCTGCAGAAAAAGAGATTTAGGACTCTGTGTCCTTATTCTCTTTTTCTATTTTAAAAGGGAAATATCAGGGGGCCTGTTTCGACCCCTGATATTTCACGAAAGCCCCTGACAAAGTTAAAAAATAAATAAAACAATTAAAAAACTTTTAAATAGGTTTGGGAACAAAAAAAAGTCGTTTTCGGCCTGACACATCTTTTATATACTGTATATATATATGAGAGCTGTCTTATCTGCCTAAAATCCACACAGTCTTGGTGGACAGCACAGCCTGTCTTGGTGACCTGACTTCTGGCTTTTCTTTACTGCAGTTTAGCAGCATGGCTTGGTCACTTCTCTCTCACCTGCCAATGAATGGATTGTGAAGGATTAGCAGACAGATAAGGTCCTGTCCGCATAGCATGTTCCTTGTCAGCACATGTTAATGCAGGAAACCTGATTGGCCCCAAACACTGTCCCTCCAAACACCATCCCTCCCAGAGTGAGTGCTGCTATACAGGAAATTGCAAGAGGCATTGAACAGGTCAAATCAGGATATTTATAATACTTTCAATTAAAATCATGTGATGATTTTTAATAAATACACAACTGCATTCACTGGAGTTCTTTAATGCGCCTTCAGATGTAAAAGTATTCCACAGTAGCATAATATTTTAGATATCTGCCCAATAGGAATCTAGTTAAACAACTCATTAGCTTGCTGTCCGGTCTATGGCTCAGCTGAATTACCAAACCGGTAGAGGCACTAGGATCTAGAACACATAAATGCCATAAATGGAACTTCCTGACTGCTCAAAGACTCACTTCCCAGTGCTGCTGGTTTCCAGCTCACAAATCTATGCTGCCCATCCACATGGCAACAAAGATATGGATTCCCTTAATCATGTAAAAAAACATTTAACACACCAACAATTGTGTGTCACTTACTGTTGTAGGTGCGTTGATAATTGATAGATTATATCCATACTGAAAAGCTCCTCCTATTCCTACTGCACATACCGCTCCAAAGAATTTGATACTTGGAAGCTATGGAGACATAAAGTAAATATCAATTATATAACCTAAAATTTTATTACTTTGGGAAGTTAATGGAAACACAAAACAGGTAGACATATACCATATACAAACAAATTGAGCACAGCTTTAGTGTTTGTAAATACGTTAAGTGAACATTCAATGAGCGAAATGAACAATAGACATGTGCGATTCGTTTCGTTCCGAATCGAAATTCGGACGAAATTTCGGAGATTCGGATGTATCCGAATTACAGATATAACGAATGCAAACGAATCCGAAATTCCGATTCCGAATTTCCGATATGTTTTTTTTGGACGAACAGATGTCATATCTAGTGTCTGGTCCCTGCTGGAGTGCTCACACACTCATAGGAAATTCATGTCTAGTGCCTAGCCCCTGCTGGAGTGCTCACACACTCACAGGAAAGCCATATCTAGTGTCTAGTCCCTGCTGGAGTGCTCACACACTCATAGGAAATTCATGTCTAGTGTCTAGTCCCTGCTGGAGTGCTCACACACTCATAGGAAATTCATGTCTAGTGCCTAGCCCCTGCTGGAGTGCTCACACACTCATAGGAAATTCATGTCTAGTGTCTAGTCCCTGCTGGAGTGCTCACACACTCATAGGAAATTCATGTCTAGTGCCTAGCCCCTGCTGGAGTGCTCACACACTCACAGGAAAGCCATATCTAGTGTCTAGTCCCTGCTGGAGTGCTCACACACTCACAGGAAATTCATGTCTAGTGTCCAGTCCCTGCTGGAGTACCCATACACTCACAGGAAAGTCATATCTAGTGTCTAGCCCCTGCTGGAGTGCTCACACACTCACAGGAAATTAATCTCTAGTGTCTAGCCCCTGCTGGAGTGCTCACACACTCACAGGAAAGTCATGTCTAGGGAGAGGCTGTAAATGCCGGTCTTAGGGCCAGCGGGAAAAGCAGGGATCAGGTAAATACATATGTCCGTTTTCCAAATAACAGACCTAAACAAGCATTTAACCCTCGCAGTATGGAGGTAGCCCCACTGCAAGGGGAGTTTTTAGTTTTTTTACCTGGAGGCAGGCTTTAAAAAAGTAATGCAATTCTATTTGACTTGTGCTCTATTTTTTAATGCCCTAGTTCTGCTTGAACCCGACTGATTCTTGTTTTTTCACCTTTACCTTTATGCTAACTTTTGAAGATAATTATATAAAATTATTAAACCAGCACAAACACACTAAATAGCACATTTTGTTAGACGACCGTACATCCAACCTAAGAGTGACAACTAAATAGAAAGTATCAGAGAGATTTCTTCCCAGTAAATTCTGTACAAGAGGGGCAGTTGAGGGCAATGTTAGACAATGCTGTGTCTTCAGGCAATTTTATTTTAAAACCTCAAAACTGGTTCAGTGACATATCTGGGGCTCAGAGAGATCTCTGCACCTGAATTCCAATGTAAACCTACTGCAGCTAGGTGGGAAAGGGAGGGAGGACTTGCAATCATTTACATTCTTTTTTTTGTTTTTGTTTCATTTAGCTGAATCAGCTTCATAACGACATCCCCAAGGGACAGATCAAGGAATTTGAGGGATTTTTCCACTGAAATCAATGATGGAAGAAGCAAGGCGGTGAATCAGAAGAGCTGGTACTTTCTATAAAGAGAACTGTCAGTTTTAGAAGGACCTTACGTTGATGGACAGCATGCTTGGCTCACAGTAAAATACATTTATTAACAGGTCTCAGAAATGTGTGTCAGCGTGCTTATCATTAACTACCATCAGCGTCCAGGTTTTTCCATACATAATGTTCCATATTACATTGTTTGAGCCAGCTCTGTATAGTTTAAATGTGAGCACTAGGTGGTGCTGCTAGATAGCACAACTGCTTATAAAGACAGCCTAAGGCCTTGTTCACACCAAGCGCGGAACAGATCCAGACCAGAGCAGGTGCAGACCGGATCAAAACTGCGTCCAATGTATTCCTATGGTATTTTGACCTCCAGTTCACATCGCAGCGTGCGGATCCAGACCACATCCAGACCAGGTGAAAAAACTGCGGCAAGCCCTATTTTACCTGCTCTGGATCTGCTCTGGATCTGCTCTGGAACGCATCAAAAACGCAACGCTACCTAGGGCCTTGCTTACTTTGTGCTGATAAGACACTCCTACGACAAATATGTTAAGTGAACATTCAATGAGCGAAATGAACAGTAGACATGTGCGATTTGTTTCGCTCCGAATCGAAATTCGGACGAAATTTCGGAGATTCTGATGTTTCCGAATTACAGATATAACGAATGCAAACGAATCCGAGATTCCGAATTTTCGATTGGTTTTTTTGGACGAACTTTCGTTTTTTGGACGAAATTTCGTTGCAGCAAAGTGACATTTGAGAACAAAAAAACTTTTTTTACTCTTAAATGTCACTTTGTTGCAACGAAGAACACGAAACGAAACAAAACGAAACGAAAGTGCGTACAGATTACCGCTAACGAATTTCGTCCGAATTTCCGAAACGAATTGACTTTCGGACCCGAATTCCGAAAAACAAAATCAGAATTGAAACTAAACGAATATTTTGCTGGTGCACATGTCTAATGAACAGCCTCTATTCCTTTTGTAAATCATTGCAATTGGATTTCATTGGCTGCTATAAGCAACTGCTTAACGGAGAAGTTCAGGCGTAGTGAAACATACTCTCCAAGATGCTATAGAGTCGACGTTGGCACTAAGGCCTGGTTCACACCTGGGCGTTTTACAGCGCGTTCCTACACGCTGTAAAACGCTCAACATGTGAAAACCAATAATTGCCCATGGGCATGGTTCCCACCTGGGCGTTTTACAGCGCGTAGGAACGCGCTGTAAAACACCCTATGCCCAAAGAAGTACAGGAGCTTCTTTGGGGCGTATTTGCCACGCGTATCCATTGGGATACAGCCGGATAGCCCTCGGAAACGCGCATTTGTCGCAGGTTCTTTTACCGCAAATCGCTGTAAAAAAGGGGCGGCACGAAACGCGCGTATTCCGTACGCCCAGGTGTGAACCCAGCCTAAGACACTAGCGCTAACCAATCATGTGACCGCTGATCAGTCAGCTCTCTATCTCTGCTCCCAGTGGAGAGCAGTGACTGTCAGCC